GTTGGCATGCCTGTGTAGAGTTTGCATGTTCTCCCTGCAGGGGCACCACTAGGGGGGACATTACCAGCTCCACCCCCAGCTCTTCACTTTCTTCCGCAAAACCACCAACCCCCCCCCCTTCGATTGTTACTTTCGTACGAAAACCTTATACACCCCCCAATCGTTACTTTTGTCCGAAAACCCCACCTCCTAAACCTTCCACCCCCACTCGTTACTTTCGTCCAAAAACCCCATCTACCAACCCTCCCCCCGAACTCGTAACTTTCATTCGAAAATCCCATCCACCAACCCTCCCCCCTAGTTACTTTTATCCAAAAGTCCTATCTAACAACTCTCCCCCTCTCACTCGTTAGTTTTGTCTGAAAACCCCATCCACCAACCCATCCTCTCCTTGCTCGTTACTTTCATCTGAAAACCCGATCTGCCAACCCTCCCCCCTCACCCTTACTTTCGCCTTAAAACCCCATCTACCAACCCTCCCCCCTCATGCGTTACTTTGTCCGAAACCCCATCCACCGACCCTCCCCCCTCGTTCGTAACTTTCTTTTGAAAACCCGATCCACCAACCCTCCCGCCCTCGCTCGTTACTTTCGTACGAAAACCTCATCCACCAACCCTCCCCCTTCAATCGTTACTGTCGTGCGAAAATCTCATCCACCAACCCTCCCCCTTCAATCGTTACTGTCGTGCGAAAATCTCATCCACCAACCCTCCCCCCTCAATCGTTACTTTTGTCCGAAAACCCCATCCACCAACCCTCTCCCCCCTCATCCCCCAACTCTCTCCCCCGACTCCTTACTTTCGTCTAAAAACCCCATCCACCTCACCACTCACCTATTCACCCTATCCCCTCGTCCTCTTCACTTTCGTGAATGAATGAATGTATTTGAATTCCAATGTTGACATTTAAGTCTTATTTCCTTTCAATAATCTTTTTAAATCTTGGTACAAAAAAGGTGTGGTGGTGATGTGGTGGGGGGGGGGTGGTGGTGGGGGGGGGGGGTGTGTTCAATTATCATACATTCAATTTCATATATTTATTTAATTACATTTTATTTATTAATCAAACCCATTTATGATTTAAACGTTTTGAGTAAAACAGGGTATTTCAACAGATGAGCGTTTCGCAAAGATAACCTATTCTTGATTGAAAACAAATGCTGACAAGTTTGTATTCCTGTAGCAATAAATTTACGACCATGAAAGATTGCACTAAGTAAATTACTGCTTAACAGCAATGTGCGGACATAAGTATCTATTAAAATACAAAACATGAGTATAATTTGACTTTACTTTTAGGCTATACTTAAATACAAACAACTATTTTACAGAAAAAAGTCTCCTTTGCACACTTTGTCTATATCTGCCGGTTTCAGACAGCCGACTGAATATTTTCCCACATAGACAGCTGGGCACAATCATGCATTCACCATATAGGGGTGTAAAATGTATGTTGTTTTGACATTCTTAAGGGGATCAAGTGTTAATTAGTGGGGTCAAACACCCCGTTATTTGCACCCTGCTCTTAGGACATTCAGGACTGAAATTTCTCCATGCAAAAACTTCCCATTAAAAGCATACTTTGTTTGTTACATGCTTTCAATTGCTTGACAATGCTTTAAAATGTTAACTCTTTGTAGATAAAAGGTACTTTTTTTTCAGGTTTGGTCTGGAAATACATTGTATCATTTTCATTTTGTTCCACGAAATAGAAACATGTGAAAGTAAATGATGAAATATTTAAAATTCTGAGTGAACGGTTCCTTAAAATGTCATTTTAAAAAGCACAATAACAATTTTAATTGCTTAGATTATAAAAGACATTAAAGATTTCAGGACTTGCTTGAAATAAAGGTATATCTTATACATACACTTGCTATGCATTTGTATGACGCTTGAGTAACTTGATGTTTGCAGACTTTCAGCTATGTGTCTCTTATGTAAAAGCCACAAAAAAGAAATTAGTGTTTGGCATGTTTGTTTGTATATTTGTTTGCTTTTCTGTTTTGTGCAAATATGTTAAAAAAAATCCTATAAATAAAGCATTAAAAAAAGACATTACATATTTCACAGCAAAATGACAAAAACTCAATTATTATATCAAAGGATCACAGTTTGAGCTGAAAGTAGAAAATCTTTTTTCTCAGTTTTTATATCATTTAAAATTTACAGGTCTCAAAATGTATGAACATTTTTACAATATGGTTTAAAGGGTTAAAGGGAATTTTTTAATTCTGCCACATTTCCTCATTTTTAAGTTATATATACTTATTTTCCATTGAAGCCAAAGCTGAGATGTTATCACAATTCAGTTTACTCATATTTTTGGCACAGCTCCTTCCAATAAACTCTCCATCTGAGAAGCATCATCATTTCAGTTCCACAGAATAAAAAAACACTATATGGAAAAATGTGGGGGAGTAAATGATTACCTATGGTTACACTGTTTCTACTGTATAATCATTTACTAATGCCTAAATTGCATATTACATTAATACGGATTTAAGATGAGTTAAAAGATGAAAACTTAATTTTAAAAACATGATTCATATAAATTCATGTGTGGATATTAACCACATGATTGACAAGTCAATACATGCAAAAAAAAAAAAAAAAGATTGATTTATTTAGCATCCAAGTGCATGGTTTTTTCTTCAGAAGAACATTCTAGATTTTTAGCTGAAATTGTTTGTAGAAATTTTTATATTTGCAGGATCTCAGATAAGCACAAATAAGTTTTTGAAGTGTCATATGGTTTCGCTTTATAATAACCTAAACATTTATCTATTAATGGTGTGTTATATATTTTTTGACTCTCAATGTAATAGTATAGCCTTTGACTTTTGACTTGAATTTTATAAATCATCAATTACTACAGTTTCAGCTAAAATAACAAAATTAACATTGTACTACAGAAAAAAGTCACTTAAATATTGGGTGACCTGAGGAGAGTTTTAAAAAAAATGAAAATTCTGTCATTATTATTGAAGAAAAATTGGTATTATATCCGCACATTATGGTTGCATGATATTGGAAATAAACAGACAATGCGATATTTTGTTTTTCTGCAATAATGCGATATGAATCCTATTTTACAATGACTATGACTCTACTTGGAAAAAAATCCTAATTTTATATTGATTGTCATGACTTTGTACCTGCGTAAAATATAATAAATATATATCACAAGAGTAAATTAACAAAAACAAAGATACAAGTTAAATTGCACAGTGCTTTAAGGTTTTCTAAAGAGTCTAACAGAATTGAGGCACAGAAATAAATGTAAATGAACACTAAACCTTTTCATAAATAATTCAACAACATCCATTTTTGTGTCAGGACAAATTTGAAAAACTTTTGTGATCCACTTCAAATGTTGACTACAATAGTCTTCAGTGTAGAAATAACTAAATGCATTTATTCTTTGTTAAAGCTAAACATTTGATAATTTCTAGTGCCCAAATGGTTTGAATTTGCTTGAAATCTTGCACAGTCACATGCGGGCCTAAAAAAATCTGTTCTTTCTGGTTAATTACAATCCCAACACAACATTGCTGCACTACCGCACATTCAGACTTTCTTCTAATATTATAATTTCAGAAAAGTATAATTTGCAAATTCTAAATAGGGAAATCCTATTATCAGCCAATGACTAATAAAGTACAACATTGTTCACAGCCATTTAAATTATTTTGAAGTCATTCTTAAATGGTATTTTGAACTGAATATTCAAATTAGCGTAGTTAAAAATAAATGGACTTTTAAAATGAACTAATGTACGAATATAAAACCAACTTTAACTCAACGTCATCATCAACTAACCCTTGACTTTCAAAAGTGTGTTCTTGTGAGAGAATATATTTTGAAAAATGCAACTAGTAAACATCCCAGCAGACACACAATGTCACAAGACATTAATATTAGGTTACATTTAGGTTGTGATGTCAGGTGACCAAAATTCTATGTCTAGCCAATGTCTAAGGACAAAGTTGTTTTGATCACCAATAAAAATGTCAAATGGCGTTGATATTTGGTCGATTTTAGGTTGTGTTGGAAAGTGACCAAAATCCAACATCTTAAACCAACGTCATATTGATGTCAAATACTGGCATTTATTCATCAGGTATGACGACCAAATTCCAACGTCTGATAGAAGTCATAGAGGTCACATACACACAACGTCAAGCACTAACATCATTAGATGTTGATATTTGGTTGTTTTTAGGTTTGGAAAGTGACCAAAATTTAACGTCTAATAACTTTGCATACTGATGTTGGCCTGTCATGGGTTATGATGTCAACCTAAATTTAATTTCCACCAAAAATGCAACGTCTTAAGACGTTGGGGTATAAAATCAATCTGACGTCATGTTGACGTCCAGTCTCTGCTGGTATAGTAGCAAAAACAAGTATGAAGGTCAGTGGTTGTCAGATTCCAAAATTCTTCAAAATATCTTTGTGTTCAATGGAAAATAAGAAACTCATAAAGGTTTGAAACAACTTGAGGGTCTGTAACTAATGAATTTTTGTGTGAACTATCCATTTAACTTGGCTATATAGGTTAGCAATCAAACTATGCTAAATAACTTTTATAAGGTTTAACGTTACAAGTTTAAATTCGGTCACACTTTCTCGCTGTCAAGTTGCAGCAAATCTTTGTATCTTATTTTCCCTCATATAAAAGCAGAGCAGTTATTAAAATCATCATAATTTTTCCACACAACAAAGGTATCCACAGAATAAAATAAATTTAAATAGCTGAGTAGCCTAAATAATGACACAATTTTTAAATCTTCCATCAAGGCGAACACTATATTACAGATATGTTGTATACATTATACGTAGGTTGGACACGATTGATTGTATAACCTGTAGTGATTACACTAATCTGAAAATCAAAACGAAAGAGTTCCTTACACGATAGTCTTTACAGGAAAGTAAAACCTGCAGTTAGTTTCCTTGGTAGTGAAGCGCTGCCCCGCCTCCATGTTTTTTCATATGAAGAGAGAAGGAATTTTGCCTCAGCTTTTGTCTCGGGCTGCAGTAATACACATACACACGCGATGGTCAGCATGACAAGCTCACACACCATGCAGTATATCGGACTTCTGCTGCTGGCTGCAATCCTCCTGCAAACAATAGCCGTGGCTGTAACTTTCATTTACTTCAGCAACGTCTTGTCGACGGTAAGGGCCGAGGAGTTAATGCGTTTCTTTGCACGTTGCCTCAGAACTTCTATAAAGTTACCCTGTACAACTCTCTATGGTGCAGCACTGAAATGCAGTAAATGTTAGACTTTAGATAGATTGAGTGTTGTTTGCTTCGTTGCTCGGCTCGTTTGTTGTGAATTCTTTCTTGCATTTTGTGTAAGTTGGTGGAAAGCTGCCAACAGGTCGCTCAGTGGAGCCTGAAGTACAAGTTAAGCAACAGCAGACTCTATTTGTAGTCACTGACAATATATATTTAAATAAACAAAAGGAGAATAACTTGGCATTTAATATTTGTAAGATGTAACTTTTATTATTAGTATTGTATTTAGTTAAAAATATCCATAGAAAAGGCTTAATTTGTGTCCTTTATATATAGAAATATAATCATAATTGATTAAATGGATCTGGTTTTGTATTCTATTTTACAAAACATTATAGGCTATAATTGTTCAGATAAATCATGCAACGTTTACATCTTACGATGATAATTTTTCAGTTACAATTTGATTATTATAGAATACGCTTATTACTTTTGCATTGTATGTATGAAAAGTGCAAACTTACCTTTTGAACATTTATTATTTGATGAATATGACTTCATGTTTGCATTTGCACATATAATTGTGAATTCATATGGTTTAATGTGTCATTTTGTTCAATAATAATACCTTCTTTTTTTACAGTTTAAATAAGAATATGATGACAAGTAATTAATATTTGACATTATATATATATATATATATATATATATATATATATATATATATATATACATACATACATATATGCATTAAAATAAATATTTGGCATGTTTATCATATGATATTATGATTATATGTGCATGTAAATGATCATAATAAAAAATAAGCATTTAAATTATGCATTTAATGCAAAAGAAAGGCCAATTTAATATGTAAACGAATTAGTATTATTATTAATTTTTTTTCATTTATTTGCTTGTGCATTCAAGAGAGATCTAAAGCAGTGGTCATTTTATATCTGCTGTAATTGATTTATGATTTATCTACTAGAACCTAAAGTAAATTTCATAATGTTTTTTGAATGCATGCAAAACAAAAATGAATAAATGCTCATATGGGGCATGCAAATTCATCTCACATAATAACCCATTTGTAATTCACAGATGAAAGAGACGTTCTCCAAGAGCAGCGTGTCTTGTCTTATGCGGGCCAACCTCAGGACTATTAAGGGTCAGGAGCTGAACGGGGCGGAGGGCAAGGACGACCCCTGCTGGCAGGTCACGCAGCAGCTCCACTTTCTGATTGAAAAGGTATCCGCTTCTTAGGGGGCCCATAAAGTCATAAAGCCGCCCATGGTGAAGACAAAGGACCCATTTAGGACTCGGATCGGTTTTCTTTTTTAATTAATAGAGGAATTTCCTTAATTTTTCGAAGCTTAGATTGAGTAAACCAACCCAATATTCAGAAATGATACTGAAGAATTGGTCTATTCACAATGCTCAGTGTGACCTGATATGTAGTGTTTGTTTTTTTACAGTCAATGTCCAGTCGATATCAGAAAGAAATTACATCTGCTGTCAAAGGTATGTTTTTTCAGATCACATTCACATCGAAGGGTAGTTCACCCACAAATTAAACTTTGCTGTTTATTTATTGGCCTTCTATTTTACTCGCTATCTAAGATGAAGCCAACTTTTTCTTCAGTCAGATTTTATGCTGAAACCACACTTCTTGGGGATTCATAAAGTGCTACTTACACTTTAAGAGTCAAAAGAACATATACCACCAACACAAAAAATGAACTCTCATAGCACTTTAAGATACATTGAGGCTTTAAAAATGCAAGAACCTGAGCATTATTTCCAACATTTTTCTTTAATAATGATTAGAAATCTATCTTCGGGAGCCACGGGTATTACTTGTGTTCACTACATCAAAGTGTTGCTGACTTGCATTTTATGGATCAGCAAGAAGAATAGGTTCAGCTAAAAAAAATTGTCATCATGATATACTTCAGGCTGATTTATACTTCTGCATTAGAGTGATCAGCGTGACCCACGGCGCCTGTTTTCCGCGTAGTCATGCATTTAAATTTCTGCGTGCTGTTTGTGTTGCTCTGCAATAACACTTCTGAAACACTAGCTGGCAGTAGGTTTTTTATGTTCCTCTGTGTTGCGTTTCTTTGTGGGCATTTTGTTTTTTAATTGGCGGATATGGAACAACATCAATCATAAGGTAAACACAAAACAAAAGTTTCCATCTGGAGCACTTCATAAAGCTTGGCACTTGTAAACACTCGCTTCATTTGGCCCGCAGCTCTCAGCACCACCCACGCTTGTCATCAGTACCAAGCCGACCAGTCACACAGCTTGTGCTACGCATTGTTGCGATGTGTAGTAACATTTTTTGAGAGGTGCGCGTCAGCCACGCCAAGGGCTATAGGATTGCGTGAAGGCTATGCTGGAGCATACACATAACTGCCAACACTCCCGCTTTTCCCTGTAGTCTCCCATATTTCAGACCCATCTTCCGCCATCCTCCCGTTTTGTTATTTCTCCCGGAAAACTCCCGTAATCTCACCTGCTCCTCAGCTTTTTGGTATACTCTATAACAGTCTATAAATCCCCTGGATTGACGTCTTTTGTATAGTATACGATAGCGGCAGCTGCCCAAAACCTGGTGCATAATAGAGTTACATAGCTGTGTTATTCAGACACCTCATCCCTGACACCTAGACATCCCCACCACTCCACCCCCAGTCTTCCGAATTTTCGGAGACAAATGTTGGCAGGTATGAGCATTTGCGTGCGCTTAATGCAAAAGTATAAATCATAAATTAACAGCAAGTGTTTAATTTTTGATGACCTGTCCCTTTAAGTTTATACAAAAACACAAACAACAAGTGAATTAACCATTTTTACAGATGAAGTCTCTCGTGTTCTTCCCTCACTGGTGATCCAAGATCAAGAGGATTCCTCTCGGCCTAAGATTGCAGCCCATGTGACTGGGAGTTATACACCAGAATCAGAAAAAGACGGAGCAGGTACTTTTCTCTACTGTTCTAACTAATATAAATGTGTTTATCTTTGGATCAAAGTTCATGTTCACCTTTTCAAATCTACTGAGATATGCAATTGGATGAAATCCAGATCAGATAAAAAGCCAATAAGCTATGCAGAAATCACACAAACGCTGTTGCGTCCCTGCAAATAAACATTGTTTTTTTGTTGGCTTCCCTGAAAGGAAGCTCATAAAACCTTTAATGTAGGTCAGAGGACATGCTTTCCTCTTTAAAAAAACAAAACAAACGCACTGTTTCATCATATCTCTGTAGCCATTTGCCTGAAACAAAAAGCTGGTTTGTAACTCAACCCGATTCTTTGAAACGACCCCCTCCCTTTTCATTCGTCTGCCAAATGCTGAAACAATGCAGCTTTTCTATCAAACCCGACCCATAATCCTTCTCTTTGGCTTGACAATGCAGGTCTACCAAACAGGAAGGTCTACGGACAGAAGATCCAGTCTTGGGAGTCCGAAAAAGGTCTGGCTTTTCTCCAGAACGTGGAGTTAAGTGACGGAGAATTGGTGGTACCTCAGGCTGGCCTTTATTATATCTACTCGCAAACGTATTTTCGTCATACGCTGATCGAGGAAGACGAAAGTGCTCGCGAGGATGAGTACGGCTCGATGGGCGAATCGGTTCGAGGGAAACCGATGTTGCAGTATGTTTATAAAAAAGTAAGCTCCTATCAGGTGCCGATTCTGCTAATGAAGAATGCTCGGACGACATGTTGGTCACGTGACTCCGAATACGGCCTTTATTCGATCTACCAAGCTGGGCTTTTTCAACTCGGAAGTGGAGATCGAGTGTTTGTGACAGTCAGCAACGTAAGCACAATTGACATGGATGAGAAGTCAAGCTTCTTCGGAGCATTTCTGGTGAGCTAGTCAGTAACTAAACGCACTGGATGATTTGTTTCGAGAGCCAATATGAGGAACAAGACTCGGCTTGCTTGGTATTTCTACCTGAGAATTCTTTGGAATGGCTGCCAGGCACCTTAAAACATTTGGACACACTTGCCGAGTTTGGTCTCTTGCCAAAACAGTTGAACCTTGATTGATGAGAGCTCAGAAAGGTGCAAATATTTGGCGCTTTTTTAGCGTATGGCCAGCGGATCTGATTGTAAATCAGTTCCTTGGTGAAATGTGTTGGAGCTCAAATTCAGTGTGTCTGCCTGGAAGGGGCGACGATATAAAGCGAGGGGCTTGCCAAGTCATTTTGGAAGCGAGTTTGTTGGACAAGATGCGTTTGTTGTCCGGGCAGGAAAAAGGAAAGCGTGATTCTTCACGCCTGTGGAAGACCTGTTTGTGTCTCTTCTCTTTGAACATGCGACCTGTATCGCTTTTTAACAATTGAAAGACTGATTGTAATGTTGAAATGCGGTTGGAGAGATTTAGACAAAACTTTGTGTTATATAAATCAAACCTTGATTGTTTTGCTGACATATTGCGAGTGTCACTTTCAGCACTAATGTGTTTATATGACATAATTCATTCCTAAAGCATGAATCTTGTACATTGACCTAAATGTGAAGATCACTGTGACTTTGTAAAATGGTAAATTGTTTTGTATATAATGTCTATTGTATATATTTTTTACCAGCGTTAAATGTGGGAATATCCACTCACTTCAGATAACTTTCAGTACTTTCCACATTTTCATTTGTTCTTTGTAATGTTTTATATTTTTTGTAACATTTTAATCTGAAACTGACTTTCAGTTTAGCATGACTATGTACGTTATATGTTTATTTCCCTGGCCAATTTTTTTCCTACATTAAACAAATATGTAATTTTGTTAAAACAATGATTATGTGATTCATTACATTATAATTGATATTAAAAATAATAATATTTTCATATATTATTAGTTTTTAGATACTGTAACTATACTATAACATTTCTGTAAGTTTAATATATTTACTAGATTTTCTAATATATATCTATATCTATCTATCTATATATATATATATATTTATATATATATATATTTATATATATATATATTTATATATATATATATATGTGTGTGTGTGTCTGTGTGTGTGTATGTGTTTGTAGTTTTAAAAGAAAAGTATGGATTCAAATGCCAATTTATTATTAATAATACCAAGTTATATTAACTCAATCCACCCACCCTGCCCATGTTTATATGAAAATATATGATTACAAATACATAAATATATCTTTCAAGAGTTCACACTTAGCTGATGATTGATTATAAAGCTAGTTTGGCATGCAGTCCCGGAAGAGAGCCCTGAGCTCATAAGATCCTTGGGCTCCCTCCCGTTTGTAAGGCGAGAGAAGAGTTTGAACTCAGGTAGATCTTGAGAACTCCCCTGCTGTAGTAGCTAATGAACAGATAGGGATTGCTCTTAAGAGAGAACTACTTAATAGGAGCATGTCTATGGTGCCGATTTGAATAGTCAATCAACTTACAGTAGAAGTCAGAATTATCAGCCCCCCCTTTGAATTTTTTTTCCCTTTTATTTAAATAATTCCCAAATGATGTTTAACAGAGCAAAGACATTTTCACAGTATGTCTGCTAATATTTTTTTCTTCTGGAGAAAGTTGTACTTATTTTGACTAGAATAAAAGCAGTTTTTAATTTTTTAAAAACCATTTTAAGGACAAAAGTGCCCAGTTAACCTGATTAACCTAGTTAAGCCTTTTTAATGTAAGTTTAGGCACTGAAAGTGTCTTGAACAATATCTAGTAAATTAATAGTTATTAAAAGTATAATGCTTAGAAATGTGTTGAAAAAAATCTGCTCTGTTAAACAGAAAACTGGAGAAAAAATAAACGGGGGCTAATAACTCCAACTGTAAGTTGCATGTTTTTGGACGGTGGGAGGAAACCGGGGAACCCGGGGGAAACTTACGTGAGCAGGGGGGGAATGTGTAAACTCTGCTCAGAAACGTTGTTGGCTTGGTAAGGATTAGAACCAGTGACATTTTTGATGTGAGACAACAGTGGCCACTGGGCCACCTAAAGGAGGAGGAGGAGTAGCGTGGAAGGGGGGATTCTTCTAAATGAAGATGGATGTTATATGGAACTTAGGGTATTTATAGTGGCTTAGGAATCGTCTGATTGGTGAATCATAAATTGGATAATGCGGAACCGGCCACAAGCAATAATAAGCATGTGATCCTCTCGAAATTAGTTTATAAATAAACTTCAATCCCTCCTTGAATTAAAATTTCTGTTCAAATAATTGTTATTGTGTTGTCTAGAAAATAGTATAAACCATTTTAAAGACAAAAATACAAATTTTACTTTAAATTTGGAAGAAAACATTAATTTCTCAAGGGGTGTCCCTAGCAATATCGGTCCCTATGCACAAGTATTTTAAGAGGGACCACCAAAGAAAAAGTGAAGACCGAGGGGTAGAGGCGATGATGTGATAGTGACATTACAGTTCTTTAACGTTAAGTCCAGAGAGATCTCTGCAACCCTATGCACTCTGTCACCCTCACTTACTATGCCCCTGAATTATATATATATATATATATATATATATATATATATATATATATATATATATATATATATATATATATATATACACACACACACACACATATATATATAATATTTTGCATTCCCACTTAAACTAATCAAATCTCATCTATAACTGCAACACTGAATAATTACATTCACTACAATTATTTCATAAATATTAAAAATCTTTTGAGGTCAGGGGCAGATTTAACCAATAAGTGAGGTAAGTGTGCTGCTTAGGGCCCCAGGAAATCTGGGGTCCCCAATAAATGCCTTTAAGTATAAATAAAAATTATACATTTTATATAATGTTATTTACAATCCTGTTTAGTACTGTAAAGGTCTTACAAATAAAATGTTCATTGTTACATCTAAGCAAATTTGTCCCCCACCCCAATCATGAAGCAGTCCAGCAGTCAAATCAGGTTAAGATTTAGCTTTAAAAATTAAATATTTTTATTATTTTTAATTTAAGGAAACAAAAAATTATCAAACTTAAAGATTGCATTTAGACAAAACATAGAAAAGGAGAGAGAAAAACACTGGTATAAATAAAAAGAAAATAAATATAAGTACAAAAGGTGCAGTTTAAGAATGTTGGGCCCCTTGGATGGAATTGCTCATGGCCCCCAAATCAATAACTCCACCTCTGCTTGAGGTATACAAAAGCCATGCCTAATGATTTTATCATAGCCATTTCTGTCTACATTCTGCCCACTTGTGGTAAAAGCTTGTAAATACAGTTACTGGGCAGAGATCCAGCACATTACTGCACCCCATGGATTTGTTTGATTGCACTATTAAGAGCATATGATTCCAGTTAACCATCTATACATATATATATTTTGGAATAGTATATTTCTAACCTATGATATTTCAGGTGCAGTGTATTTTCATATATGGATTTTCGTCTTTCCACACAAAAGATTAAAGCCAAGAAATAAGCCCACCTCAGCAATATTCTAAGCTGCAATATGAATGAAATGTCTCATTAATATTGCATGTCAGCCACTGGAAAGCGATTCTGTACTAGTCAAGAAGAAGTCTAACAAAACAATGATTTCTCCACAAGGTATATGATCTGTCAGGAAAAATAATGTGTACAGGAAGTTACACACACATACATGGACAACATTGAGATTGTAATGCACTCTTATTATTGACTGCATCACAGGATATTTGTTGGACATATGCCAGGCATGTCCAAACTCGGTCCTGGAGGGCTGGTGTCCTGCAAAGTTTGGTTCCAACCCCAATCAGACACACCTGGTCTAGCTAATCAAACTCTGAAGCTGCGGTCACACTGGACTTGTCTCCCCATAGACTTCCATTCATACAGACGTGAATGCGTCAGACCAGAAACATAAGGTCGTGCATCAAGTTTTGCAGGTTGCTGCCATGCAAAGTTCAAGCTTGGTGAACTCTGACCAGCGAAATCGCATCAGTTGACTGCGTGAGACCAACCGAGGATCAAAACATGACCTCTCTGAACAGGAATTTGAACCATAGAGCAATCGCTCGCTTTTTAAAATGTCTAATAATCGTGTTTAATCCCACCCCTTTTCGCAGCACCGTGAGACAGAATTTCGCACAAACTCTGGTGTAACCGCAGCTTTACTAGGCTTTCGAGAAACATCCTTGCAGGTGTGCTGAGACAAGTTGGAGCTAAAAACCTCCAGGACCGAGTTTGGACACCCCTGCCTCACGCTAACTAAACAAGTGTTTCTTACCATGTTCCTAGAGTTCCAGCAGCTCTGCATATTCTCCATTTCTCCTTGACCAAACACACCTGATTTAGATCATCAGCTCATTAGCATACTGAAAGACCTGAAATGGGTGTGACAGACAAAGAAGACGTCCAAAAAATGCAGTGCTGGTGGTCCTTCAGGAGCGTGGTTGAGAACCACTGATTCTAAAACCTTTAGAGAAGCAAATGCAAATCTAAAATGATTTTTGAAATGAAAGACAAGAGTCGTGTTAGGATTTTTCTTTTTTGTGGAAATATGTTACATTTATATTACAGGTATTTAAATGCCCCAAGGGAAAAAAATAACAGTTTGAGACAGCAAAAAACTAGCACAATCAGGACAACAACATAATTTAGACAGAAAAACCGTACATACTGCATCTGTGTGACTTGCATCTGTAGAAATGGTATCCAGCTGATGCCCTCGGTGGACCGTAATCTATGTTAAGTGATATCCAATAAATACTGCAAATGTTGTTAATGTAACTTACAAAATATATCATAAAATGTACTTTGTTTTTTTTGTTTGTTTGTTTAAATCGAATTCATTAAGTCTGTGTACAAAAACGGTTTTATAAATACAACCAGTCTCTACTGATGCTGTAGGGTACCATTCGTTTAACAGGTCTCGTCCGCTAGCCTACAAACTGAAAATCTTCCACATATGCACATAGCGTGACCCGCAACAATGAGGTCAGGTATATCTTGCTAAAGATCGTGCCTTATAGATCACTTGAAAATCAACATAACCCCTTTACCTAAAGAAACTCGTCTCCTCCTAAAGGTGTGCGTGTAAACCGAAAACATTACAAATGATTGAAAGGCACGAGCTTCAGCAATAGCTTGTATAATTGATAATGTGAACTGGAACAGAATCACAGTAGCTGCCTTATCGATAGCTGACTCTGCTGGCATCGGCCCCTCACTACAGTGCCACCACACTGAAAGCAAGCCAGTCTGGAAAACAGGGCGATGTTAAAGGAGAATCATCTGAGACTCAGTCAAACCTCATGTCCAATGGTTCATCGAATCCTTTGTCTTCGTGTGGTCCCGTAGCCAAGAAAGAGGCCACAGGTGAACCAGCCGCGGTGGAGACGTTCAGCATCCCGCCGGCGCCGCTGCCGGTGGCGTTACGCACTGCGATGCTGGTGACGTTTATGCCTAGAGTTAGTCTTGTCTGCTCGAGTGCCTTTTCTGGCACCGCGAAGGCCTCCAGCTTTTTTTCGCCGTTGGCCATGTAGGAGTTCTGGCAGCCCCTGCATATGCAGTCCAGACAGGCTTTGCGGTTGGAATAACAGGGGCATCGCTGTCCACGGCATGTAAGAACACTTGGGTTTTGAGTTGCTCTGCCGCACTTGCAGCCCTTTTTCTCCTGCGCCTTTTTGTACACCACTTTGGTGGGGCTGCCGGGAATGAGGGCGCTAGTCAGAATCCTGTCTTTCATCTTCTCCTTGGATTTTGGAGTGCCTTGTTTGGATTTAGTGTACGCCTTCTTGGGTCCATGGTGGTCTAGGGTCTTTTTGACAGGTTTGGCAGGCACTAGTAATGTCTTGCCCACCTTTGGAAGGCCACCACCATTGGGCACCACTGCCATGTGCGGGATAGTCTGTGCAGGAGATTTTGGCTCACACTTGATCTGAACCGGAGCGGAGGCTCCCAATGTAGGACCACAGATGAAGGTGGAAATGGGCAAGGGTTGGATCTTCTCACTATCGCTTTCTGACCGCGAGCGCTTCCGATTGGACCGTGGTATTCGCGGCGTCACTGCAGAACAGGATATTCCTAAATGTTGCTGATTCTGCTGGGACACCGGATGTTGGGGCACGAGGATTTCATGCGAGTCCTGTGGAAGTGAGGAGAGTTGCCGGCTAGAGTCAACCGAGGAAAATGGTCCATTTAAGTTTCCCGAAGATTCAAGAGTTGATTGCAAAATAGCAGGACACTCATCCTGGGAAACATGATCTGGTTCTAGAGTCCTGAGCACTTCCTCTACACTCAAGAGGAGAGTCCCGCCATCGTGTTTAATATCCTCGCTGAAGCCACAAATGTCCATGGTGCTGGTACAAAGCTCCTCGCCAGCTGCTGCCACTGCCTCGCAAACAGGGATTTCATTGGTGAAACTCTCTTGCTTCACTTCATCACCCCCGCTACTCTCCACCGAGTCTGGGACACTGGCCTCTAGAGAAGGTAAGCTGGCAGTCAATTCCTCTACATTGGTCAAGCCATTGCAATCCTGTAGACCATTCACCCCAAGAGGGCTGAGGCCTTGCTCCTTGATCTCTGTGGAAGGGGACTGGCCCTCATCAGGGAGCGTTTCAGAGGTTGAAGGTGTTGGTGATTGGTTTGTCAGACTCAGGGAGAGTGACTCCTCCCCAAGGCCCTCCAGTCCCTCATTCAACAGGGACAAGATGTCTGAAGACCCTTCCACAGTACTTGAAATGTGTTGAGCGAGAGGAGAATCTGCGATGTACTCGCAGAGTTTTTTGTAGCAATCCACCAAGATGCACAACTGCTTATTCTCTTCAAACTGCTCATAGTCTTTACACCAGCTGCACGACGGTTTCATCATCATCTTTTTGCCTTTACATGATTTACAGACATAGTGCTGGCACGATGAGTTGGTAGGAGCGATTGGATCTTGTAGCAAATTGCCTAAGTGATAAAAAAAGAAAACATATTTAGACCATGAAACAACAGTCTGGGGATTATTCCGACACATTAGCATGCAAATTATACAAATCACCGCCTGCTTGCATGCTGTACCTTTTAAAACGATCTATCAGATCTGTAATTAGTTTTCCAGATCACAAGCAATATTACACAAGCATTTCATTAGACATGGTTGTGTGGTATTGAAGAAAGCATATGCGAGGATTTGAAGGGTCATGTGATGCTTCATAGTGTGGTTCACATTACATGCTAGGCATATGGTTAGCAGGGATATCAAATGCAAATACAGATGCAGTTTTATAAACACAAGCACAACAAATAAACATGCACTGCTTAATACAAACAATAATCAGGTTTTAGAAATTATGCATGGATTATCAACGGCTAAATTAAAAGACAGCAATGAATTGCCTGCTTATGATGAATTACATTTAGATTATCCTATTCACACTGATGAAGTTCATTTCTAGCTGATTAATTATAAAATAAATGAATATTAAATTATTTGAAATACAGAATTGCATGCCTGGAAAAATGTTAATTTTCTCAAACGTTATAATTGTTATTAATAATGAAAAATATATATGGCATATATTTTATATATAATAAAAAATGTAAATATGTATTTAATATATCAAGGTTTCAGTGGAAATTAGGAAATATATTAACTGTAAAATATAAAGGTAACAGTTGTAACATTAATACAAAATGTATAAATATTTTTTTATATCCATTACATATTTATTTTGAAAATAATTAATTAATAATTACAATATGGATAATCTCTGAAGAAAATTATTTGGTTGCCAGCATTTTTAATATTAAAAGAATGATGCTAATTAATAAATAAAAACTAGATTTAATATTTCAATATTTCCACTAAAACCATCTGATAAATCCACTGCTGAAAATAACACGTGATAAAATAAAAACAATAATTCTGAATTTATTTAAGTTAATCTGGATCCCTACACAAATCTCTAAATAATTAAATAACTGTTTATGAATATAACTAAGACCAAATATATTTTAATTATAGTTACAATAATCCATGTATTTCCTTGCAAACCCAATGACAAATGAATCTAAGCAAGCAATTACAGCATGTCTTGAAATATAAATTGCTAAAACATCCAGGATTTAATATTATTATTTTGTCTAACCAAGCAGGCAAGCCATTACTATTCAAGCCCATGCGTCTATAAACACAGCCTAAATGCACTGCTGTGTGTCTGAACGCCCAGGCTCCAGTTGTCATTGTAGGTCAGGAATTCGTGGCCTCACTGGGGGTGTGTCATGTTGTCTGGAGCTTCGCGTGCAATAATAAAGCATCAAGCAGAAGTGATCATGCAAGCGTGCAGTGATGAGGCAGAATAAAACGGGATCTCTCACCACACACAAGGCAGGCGAGAGACTGTCTGAAAAAGGGCAAGAGCTTATAGATTTCCGCCAAAGCCTGGGGGTCCCGGGGATCGCACTGCAGCACCGACCGACAAGCTGACACGTAGAGAGTGGTCGCATTCACCGGGTTCATCTCAGCAGTGTCGTGCTAGACGGATCCACTTCGGGGAGGAAAATAAAAGCGTGAAGGAGCGACGGTGAAAGCCCACGTATCATCAACGTCGCGTGCAATTCCGTCGACAGTGAAATGTCTGTTCATCGCATGCAATTAAAACCACTCCATCTTAACGCTTGCCCCTCTTCCACGGCACGAAATACGACCAAATCCTCGTCATCATCGTGTGATGAAACCACATCCACGGGGGTCAGGTTGAAAGCACAATTCAGAGATGCATTTGCACGATTTCTGTTTTTTTTTTTATTCAACAACAACACGCTGGTGGCGCTCTTCGCCCCACTGGGCCTCCGATTACCACCAAATTCAAACAGAGAGCACAGATTGCCTCCTTGTGTGATATGGGATGAATGCAGTCCTTGTTTGCGGTGCTATTCCGCCTGTTTGTTTATTTATTAATCCCGATACGTGCTGAAGCTAGAATGATAGCAGCTACACGCAAACACCGTCACTCTGTTATTGTCCGCCGCGCTTCATGGCGCTGCAAAAACAATAATAAAAGAAAACAGGCCGCCTTTTGTGCTCCTTCCTTTTTAAAAAGACTTTAAGGTGCAAGATATTTACTATGCATCCATGCGAAGTGATTTCAAGTCGGGTGTGAGGAAAAAAGCGGTGTGAGTTGAGAGGCTGTTTGATGTCAGTGTGAGCTGCGCCTCAGGAACAAAAACAGGCCGCTTCGCTTCTTTCCTGCATTCTCCCGCCGCTTTCCTGTCGTCTGCGTGCGTCGAGGGTGTTACGCGTGCGAATTTATCATCCACAAAACATTCGTTTGGAGAAGAAGCTGGGAAATTATATATCCAGTAGCGATATTGAAATGTATCTGTATTTGAAAAGGCTTCTCCCCTCCCTTCCTCTCCGCAGTAGAACAAGGAGGGGGAGCTGCTGTACACATCTCGCGAGAGCTGAAGCGCGGCAGCTGTGGGAGAGGAGGGTGGTAATCTCGCGATACATCAGCTTTGGAGGCTATAAGGAGAACACTCGCGAGAAGGGAACGCTAGCTGGTGTGGGCGACTGGTTCCCTTGGTTACATAAAGGTTGAGATGCGGGGCGTGGCGCGGGTGAAGATGAGGCGGAAGAAAAACAAACTAAAAAAAAAAAACTAGACATACAGAGACGTTATTCAAGAGATTCATTAACATGCTAAACAAAATACGGGCTATAAATGTAAAATACACCCACTAAAATGTAATTCTGTGTAAAATGTTTGAGTAACGAAAATCTTTATAAACTGTTTGATTATTAGGCTATATTTAACGCTATTTCTATAGATCATTTCAATGTGATCATGTCATCGGCCCATGAACATGTCCTGCTTGTTGTCAAACTATTTCATAACTAACAAGAGGCAATTCAATCATAACTTCGTGTTTAAACAGCGGTCATGGCATCATTTGTCAATATGTAGCTCCTTTTGGTTTATCGGAAGTTGTAGAAATTAAAGATGTAAAACGGGAAATACGCTGGGACCATTGTTTTTGTTTACTTCCCTCAAAATGGTCTATAGTTTATTCAGTGCATTTTCAACATAATACAACTATCCTTCAAACCACTTATTTATCATAAATATATCTGTGGAACATTAGTTCACCTTTTAAATCTTTCATTTTTTCCTCTGGATTTATTAGGGTTTGAATTAAAAGTGAATATTTGTTTTAATCCGTAGGGTCTGACAACACTTTCAAATTTTAATAAAATTTATTGTCATTTTTAAAAAAGTAAAAAATGTGTGCCGTGCACATTTTAATTTTAAGTTATTTCCATTTTCAATTTATATTTCTAGCTTCATTTTATTTTATTTTTATAAAAATTACAAGTATGGAAAATGTTGAAATGGTACAACCATTTGCATAAAGTAAAATATGCAACTGGAATCGTTTGACCCATATTCTTTCTCAGTTTTTTTTTGTAACTGTATTAATGTTAATTTGTTGACATGACCTAATAATAAACAATACTTAATCAATAATAAAAAAAATATTATTTTAAAGGGGTATGACATACAAATTAACATTGTAAAATCGTCATACCTTTTTAAAATAATTAATTTTTGACACTGCCTGAAATCAAATCACATTCCAAATAACTTTTACTGTTTTTTTTATAATTACAAATTACTTTTCCAGCCTTTGAATTGTTTTTGTAGCCTTCTCCTAACCTGTACATTTCTAAACTTCATCCCGAAAGTGTTGAAAAAGCACATTTGAAATCATTGGATTTGTCATTTTAACAGCGCCATCTAACGCGTACAGCAATTAATACATTTTGTTTTCTGCCCGATTTCTCAAGTGCATTATGGTTGCAGGTTTTTTTTTTTTTTAGATAATTTGAATTAAACCTTCACAATACATTAATATTATATACCAAATTGCGTCATTATTTAAAATAGAATTTATCCTAAAATAAATTATCAATATACTATATAACTATATAATTATTTATTATTCACAATTACTTATGTGTATGTATAATATATATATATATATATATATATATATATATATATATATATATATATATATATATATAAATAAAATACTATACTATCTCTCTTTAGATTTCTTTCTCTCTGCTCAAACTATTCATGACATTTCTTCCAACTGTAAATTAATTTCATTTAGAGGGTTGTTTTTGCATTGAATAAACAAAATAGATGTTTTCACGTGTTCATATTCTTAAATAACACAGTACCGACACTTTATCTTTAGAAGATTCAATTTCTAATAACCCTGATTTATAATTAGATTCATTAAATAATTTACCTTCGACTCAGTCCCTTTAATCATCAGGGGCCACCACAGCTGAATGAACTGCTTACTTATCCAGCATATGTTTTACACAGCGGATGTCCTTCCAGCTGCAACCCAGTACTGGGAAACATTCACACACATACACTACGGCCAGTTTAATTTATTCTATCCACCTATAGCATATGTCTTTCTACTGTGGGGGAAACAGGAGCAACCGGAGGGAACCCACATGAACACAGGGAGAACATGCAAACTCCACACAGAAATGCCAACTGATCAGGCCGGGACTCAAACTAGCAACCTTCTTGCTGTGAGGCCACAGTGCTAATCATTGAGCCACTGTGTCACCCAGTTATAATAAAAAAAAGCTCTAAATGTCTGACAACCTTGATTTAGTCACAATACAAGCAATATCATTTTAAGATTTTTTTAGCCATTTTTTCTGTGTGTGTGAGTGTGTGTGTGTATGTATATATGCACCAACACACACTCCCTGCTGGCAAAATTATGTTGGCTGAAAGCCCGTTTCCCAATAAGACCAATGTTTGTTGACACAGTTCTTACTGTTCCTTCCCTGTTTCTAAGATTTCTCCTTATTCCATGGAGATTGGAGGAGAATGTTATTTTTTTTTACTTAGATGTGCTTCACATAATGTCCCACATGGTCTAAGAATAACCAAAACAAACTTTGTTCATAGCAACAATTAAAGTGTATTAAAACAAGTATGAAGTCGAAAATACTCAACATTAATTTTAAATACTTTTATTTAAACATTTTTAAAAAAAAGCAAAGTTTGAACAGTGAAAAGGTTAAAATAAATGACAATCCCGCAGTTTGACTGGAGTCTTGAAACAGGAAAGCACCAGTCGAAACGCGGGTTCTGACATCACTCTTCAACACCACACAGGTCCAATCAAAAACCTGCTCCGTGGAGATTCAGATGGACATAAAAGCCCAATAAACCACCAAGAAATGTTCACAGCAATACAGTATTGTGTGAAAAGCTACAATGTTTCCACAAACGCACAGTAAAAAGGTAAATCACTGAGCAGACTCTAAACAAGAGGAGGTAAACTTCTTTAAAATCAGAACAAACGAGTTCTTCAACAAAATATCTGTATAAAACACATGACCAGTGTCTGAAGTATTGAATACTCCCCTGTACTTCCTCCTCAAATAACAGCTTTAGCTTTTTTTTTTAAAAAAATGTGGGCTTAACTTTAATTCATCTGCTAAATCTGAGCAATCGAACAACCAAATGATTAATTTAAGGCCAATAGTACTTTTGGATGAACTTGAAATATGAATACTTTCTGACCAAAACCAGAACTTGAATTGGCGTTAACGCATGTAGAAATCAACAGCATCACACAAATGTCTGATTAAACCGCATCTGCTCTGAGAAATCAATAGATATGATATGTTAAAAAGAGAAACCGATTTGGTCAAGATGATGCTGAAATCGTATCGCCATTGAGGATTTTCCAGGCTCTCTATGGTCCATCTGAACTGAAGGAAATGCTGACTGACAGGAAAGCTCACAATGGGATCATGGGCTGATGACGAAAAGTAAGAGAGGAAAGTTCACATGCCTGCGTACAGTTGTGTGAAACTGCTATTTAAAAAGAACTAAATAAACATTTGAAGTGATTCTTGTTGGTTGCTGGTTGCGATCACCCGTCGAGTTCGAAATCTCTCCTAAAACATCTGCATTCCGAATCCCTGTTGGGAAAAGAGCAGATGATTAGCACTTCCTTCTTAAAGGGCACCTATTTTCAAGATTTAAGATTAATCGTTTGTGTCTCTAGAATGAGCCTGTAAAGTTTCAGCTCAAAATACCCATTAGATTATTTATTATTCCTTTTTTATTCTGGGAAATCTGAGTTGTTATAACATTTAGCTGTTTTTGTTGCGAATGGGATAGTTCTCCCCTCCTACCATTCCCACATGCGTGTCAGAGACATAGCCTTCACGTAGACAAACAGCACAGTGACAGACAAGAATGAAGCAGATCTCCCTAACTACAGTAAGAACTTTCCCAATGGTTATTTTATATACACTCCTGAACAAAATCTTGAGACTGGGGGAAACACTACAGGTATTCACATTTTGCACTAGTAGATCATACTCCGATTTTAAGCACTGCTTTAAATACCCAAAGAAGACAGGTGCAAAAGCCAAAAAATAGAGAATAGGCAATTTATTGAAAAAAGAAAAAATTTAAACTCAAACAGGCTTAAATCAGCTGATTAAAAATTTAGCACTATAGGCCAAAAAACACGACAATAGAACAAAAACTGTCAAAAATGACTCCATATTGAGTAACACCTCCATTCTTGTTGATCACTTCAATAACTCGTTTTGGCATGCTTGATGCAAGTGTTTCCAGGAGGTTGGTGGTAACGTTGCTCCATGTGGTTAAGATGGCTTCAAGAAGGTCACCCAAGGACTGGAACTGGCGTCCCTTTTTGCAAACTTCCCTTGTCATCCATCCCCAAATGTTCTCAATGGGATTTAAACCAGGAGAGCATGCAGGATGGTCCAAAAGAGCATGGAGGAAGCGTTGTGAGCATTGTGAACTGCAGCATTGTCCTGTTGA